CCACACCTAGGAGAAAATATTCATATTCTAAGCCTCTGATACAGGACTTGCATCCAATATACATAAATAACTTTTACAACTCAGTACCCAATATTTATCCTATGCAAAAGTTTTGAATAGACTCAGGACAAAGATATACAAATGACTAATAAGCACATGAAAATAGGTTCAGTATGATGATCATTTGTCATCAAAGAAGGAGGGAGCACATCACTCCCACTAGAAAAGGCTAACACTCAAAAAGCTCACAATGTTGATTGTTAACCGGGATGTGGATTGTGCAATGGAGCAACCACCTTGGAAAATATTTGAGCATCATTTTGCAAAGTGAAACATGCATCTACTCAAGAAGAACTTACACTCACACAAAAACCTGTGCATAGGTGTATGTAGTGGGTTTTTTTTATTTATAACTAGAGGCTCAGTGCATGAAATTCGTGCACTTGGGGGGGGCGCTCCTCAGCCTGGCCTGTGCCCTCTTGCAGTCTGGGAGCCCTCAGGAGATGTCTGACTGCTGCGGAGGCTGGAGAGGCTCCCGCCACCACCACTGCACTCGCCAGCTATGAGCCCGGCTTCTGGCTAAGCAGCACTCCCCCTGTAGAAGCGCACTACTAAGGGGTAGCCCCTGCATTGAGCGTCTGCCCCCTGGTAGTCAGTGTGCATCATAGCAGCCAGTCGTTCCACCATCAGGCCTAAACTGGCTCTCCAACATCCCCCGAGGGGTCCTGGATTGCCAGAGGGCACTGGCCACACCGAGGGACCCCACTAGTGCATGATCGGGGCTAGGGAAGGATGTAGGAGGTTGGCCAGCCAGGGAGGAAACGCCGGAGGGCTCTAGGGCATGTCTGGCCCATTTCGCTCAGTCCTGATCAGCTGTTCCCCAACAGCAAGCTAATCTATCAGTTGGAGCGTCTGCCCCCTGGTGGTCAGTGCACTTCATAGCGAGCAGTTGAGTGGCCTTACCATATCATTAGCATATTACGCTTTGATTGGTTGAATGGCCAACTGGACAACCGGACACTTAGCATATTAGGCTTTTATTATATAGGATTGTTAAGACTGGCAACAGACCAAATGTCCTTCAAGGAATGAAGGATAGACCATATCATGGAGACCTCTCAGAATCATGAGGGAAGGACTGCCTGGTGAGTCCAGGAAGCACTGCTGAGTCCCCCTGCCTGCAGAACTGTCCCCAGCAAGTAGCTGGGTGCTGGGGTGCAGGTAGCTGGGAAGGACTGAGGTTCGGGGTGGCTGGGGCTCTGGGAGGACAGAAACTGTCTGTGCCTGGGTACATGTGGAAGTGAAGGGTTGTGAGTTGTAAGAAAGCATTGAACCGCATACTCAGAATGGGTGTGATTTATTGCATGTGACTTGCACTTCAATAAATTATGTTTTAGAAGCCTGCACTGCTGTAAGTGGGTGAAAGTCCTGGGACAGGCATAGAGCATGGAGCCCACCCCCCATCTCCCTCCCTCATCTCCTGGGAGTCCAGCCCCAGCTTGTAGAAATGCTTTAGAAGAGAGGAGTGAGCCAGGGGGTTCTGAGAGAGCAAGAGGCTGGGAGCCAGGGAGAGGCCATGGGGTGAGGCTGCTGCCTGGGTCCCCCACAGCCTGGAGGGGGTGAAGTAGCCAGGCCCAGTCACATTTGACACAGTGCCCTGGAGCTCTGAGGTGTGTGTGTTGCGGGTGGGGGTGGGGGTAGAGTTAGGTGTGCTCTGAGCTGGGGCACCCCTGTGGCCACACAGGTCTCCACATGACCTCTCCCACAGAGTCTCCTCTCTCTGCCCCAGGGAGAGTGACCCCCAGACCAAAGACCCCCTGCATCCCTCCTGCACAATGAGGTCTGTCTCTCTCCACCCCCAGGTTGATGCACTCAGATGCTCTAGACATGGCCACAAGTGGTCAGTGCATAATACAGACCCTCCATCCCTACCTCCCCATCCTCCCAGTTCCCGGCTCCTCCACATCTGTCAGCGTTCTCAGAGTTCATTCTCAGAAATCCCCGCCCCCCCCCCCCCGGGCAGTGTCTCCCCTGGTTTGGGACACCCCCTGGGGAAGGGTGCCTCCCACCATCCTGAGACCCTTTGTGCCCCACATGGCCAAGTGTGGCCTGGCTCCCTGGCCTCTCTGAGAGTGACAGCCAGTGGTCCTCGCCCCTTCTCCCCACTAGTGCCTCGAAGAGGTGAGAAGGGTGGGTTCTTGTTGGAATGTCCTTGCCTATTTATCTTAGTCTGAGAAATGAACTTTGGCTTTTATTTGCCAAATTTCAAAAAACAAAAAGACCCCCCTGAGCTCCGGAGTGGAGCAGCGCTGAGTGAAGAGGCAGACGGGGCAACATTGACATCTTCGGAGTGTGGGCTGAGTTTTCACAGCCCAGGGCTGAGCACAAGGCTCCGGCTCTGAGGGTGACGGGTGCTGTGGGGACGGGAGGTGGGTGCAGCCTGGACCCCTGGGGCAGCCGCAGGCTTGTCCCCTGCCCCTGTCTTCTGCGCAGGCACGTTAGTACTTACTTGTCTTCCTTTCCACGGGTGGGTGGGCTGTCCTGTCTCCCAGCCCTCACAGCCCCACACGGTAGGTAGTGCTTTCTGTCCTAACTGTGCCATTCGTTTTATTGTATTTCTTGGTCAAGTTTCCCGGAGTGCTTGCCATACCATAGTTTTTTGTTTTGTTTTGTTTTTGAGGAACTGAAACCAGAACTGCATGCCATCAAAGCCAGGCTCCTGAGATAGGTGCTGATGAAAAGGGAAAGAGGTTTATTTAATTCCCAGTCACCTGAGAAGATCTTAAAGCCCATCTTAACATCTCCGGAGAGGCAAAGGGCTTTTCAAGGGGGACCCTGGGGAGAGGGGGACTAAGGAATTCTGGTGATGTGCAGTTTCCATGCTAGCTCTCAGCTGGTTTCCATGTTTTCTTTTGTGTGTGTCAGCACTGGGTGTTTTTTCTCTCTGCGGGCTCTATTGCCGATGTCCAGGGACACGATGTTGCAGGCCTGGCCGGCCCTCGCACCTGCTACACTCCTGTCGGGGAGGCCCATGGAAGGGGCTCTGGGACGGCTGCTGCCCGTCACGTGCTTGAATATAAGACTATTAATATTTTAGACTCTGAGTTTTGTTAGTATATTTTTATTTTTAATCCTTGGTTAGTTAGTTAATTAAATGTGAGGTTTTTAAAAATACCCTATGCCCTGTTACAGAACGATCTTTTGGATTTAAAAAAAAAAATCAAGTTTATTTGCTTTCCAATTAGAGGAATTCATTTCGGCTTTTCTCATCATTTCATTGGCTTACTTTCTTTTGTGAATTGCTCCTTTTCTGCTCGTTTCAGTTATGTTTCTTTAATTTCAAATAATAAAACTAAGAAATAATACAAAAATCATTGCACAGTGAATTCTCTTCCAAGGCCCTCTGGCCAGGTCCCACAGATGTTTGTGACATGTTTGTCCTGAGTCTATAAAGAGAAAAAATGTCAATTTGGATTTCCTCTTTGACCCAGGACTCATTGGGAAGAATAATTAACATTTTCAACTAGTTAGGCTGTTTTATATATTTTTGTTTCATTAATATTTTGTTTTATATAGAGTTATGTTCAGAGAATGTGGCCTAAGCGATTTTTCATTTTTTTCAAATTGTTTTGAGCTTTGACTTGCAGCTGGTTTGGAGTCCTTTAAACTTTTTCATGGGATTTTGGAAAAAAATGTGTACACAGTGCATTTTATTTAAAAATTCAAGTCAAATCACCAACAGTAGGATTTGTCTTTTTTAAAATTTTTTTTTTATTGCTTAAAATATTACAAAGAGTAGTACATTTGTCTCCTTTTTTTCCCCCCTTGACCTTCCCCCAGCCTCCCTTACCCCCCAGTGTCTTGTGTCCATTGGTTATGCTTATATGCATGCATACAAGTACTTTTGTTGATCTCTTACCCTGCCCCCACCTTCCCCAGCCTTCCTGCTGTAGTTTGACAGCCTGTTTAATGCTGCTCTGCCTCTGTATCTATTTTTGTGATTTGTCTTTTCCACCCTCATTTTGCATTTTCTCTGCAATCTATGGCATTTTCCCAGAGTCCAGGTCCCCTGTGGCTATGTGGCCGTGCCCTCCTCTCATCCCACAGACTTAATTCTCACATCCCCAGGCATATGCACTTTTCACCCACGTAAGGTGCATTCCCTTACCCATTTCACTCTTCACCTCGAATTCTGCTTTCTGTGGTATGAGCACCGTGTTGTGCACGTTCCTGGGCTGCACTTTTCAGCCCCTCACCCGCACACTTCCTTCTCATGTTGTTGCTCGTATGCCCCTCACTGGTTCTGCTTTTCTGCACAAAAGCAGCCCACTCTGAGCTCCTGACCTTGGTTCCAGCCAGCACCTGCCCAGGTCACTCCATGAGGCAGGCTGTGCAGGGCACCTGTGGCTTTGGCAAGAGGAGCCTTGATGACCCTGGGGGGTAGGGGCATGATGGGTTAGAGGAGCCAGGCCCACAATGACAGGTCTGACTGCTGTGCCAGCCCCACACAGTACCATTGGCTAGAACCAGTGCCTGGCCTATGGCTGCCAGCCAAGGCCCACCTTGGGAAGGCTGGTCCAGCGCTGGGGAGACCCAAGGGCCCTCCTGGGGGAAGGCTACCCACTCGGCTGACCTGCTGTAGGCAGGAGCAGGCCGCCAGAAGCCTGGTGGGCTGCACTGAATGGGTGGGCTGACCCACACCTATTTCTTCAAGTCCAGAGAGGACATCTGCAGGTGCGTTTTCTCCTTAGAAGGGGTTCCTTTTCCCCTTTAAAGTCAAGGCTGGAGTTCCTGGCTATGATTTTGCTGTGTAACTTTGCAAGATGCCACCATTTGGGAAAACGGGGGAAAGGGGACATAGGCTCTCTGTTATTTTTTACAACTCCGTATGGATCTATAATTATTTCAAAATAAAAAAATTAATTAAAAGGCGAATAAGCCTGGTACATTATGTAATTAAAGAAATAGCTGCCCAGATGTGAAAAAGTCGAACTCTGCAGTAGAGAGTAGTTTATTCTGCTTTATTGCCTTATCCAGGTAAACTGTTCATAAGCAATCATTTGAATTCTCAAACCTTTTATTGACTGGTTGGTCTCGACTCCTTCCCCACATCACAGCCAGCTGTTGTCTCTACAATGCTGTTCATAGACAGTCCAAACTCAGTAGCTGTCAGGAGAAAGCATTCTTTCCCACCCACAGAGCCGTGGGTGGCCCGGGGGTTGCCCTGTCCAGGTGGGCTCTGAGCGCAGGGGCTCCTACTCCTCGCTGGAGGCGCTGGTCCTCCTTGGTCACCTTTAGAATGAGAAGCCCCGACTGGAGGGTTGGCCCCTCGCAATACCCATTCCAGGAAGGTTGTCCAGGAAGGAATGGGTACTGGCAGCATGGGGAGTACTCTGGAAGGGGTGCCAGGGGGTGGTGAGTTGGGGGCACCTTTTCAGGGTAGGGGGAAGCAGGGCTGGGGGAGGGGCAGGGCAGAGCTGAGTGCTGCTGCACCCAGTACAACAGCAGAGCCTCTCTCAGCTCCTTCGAGAGGATACAGGGTCTCCATGGCCCTGCACACAGACCCTGAGCACCCTGCGAGCAGGTGTGACTGGAGCCCATGGGTGGGGATGCTGGGGGTCAGTACTGCTGGGCCATCCCTCCACACCATGGGTCCACCCAGGGACCAGGTCTTGCTCCCTCCGTGACCCTTGCAACAGCTACCCCCACCTTCACATGTCTGAAGAATACATTATTAAGCATAAAGAAACACTTAAAGCTACAGTGACTAAAACACAGGATCCACTCCCCAAAGCGACGCTCACCCCTAAACATTGGTTTCTGTACGTCTCTGGGTTTGGTGATTACACCATCAGCAGCACCTGGAGCCTCCTGAAGCCAACACCCTGGTTCCTGTGGCTGCTCCAGACAGCAGGGCCACCCACTCTTCCCTTGGAGAGCTGCCTACAGGTTACAGGGCCCGTGAGGCGCTGTCACCCAGCCTTGCCACGCCCTGTAGCCCTGGCTGGCTCTTCTGGGAGCAGTGGTGATCGGGGCCCCTCCACCTTCAGCACCCAGGCATACAGCTCCGGTAGGAACCCTGGGCCTTGAATGGCCAGGAAACTTCTAGAAGCCCTGCCTGGCATGGTAGCCTCAGTCAGCCAGGGGGTTGGAGAAAGGCGTGGTCCAACCAGAATTTTATCTGACTCCACACATGCCAGAGAGAAGCCACCAGGGGAGGGACGGGAGGGAGGAAGCCATGGGTCCTCAGGTCCTCATTGCAGGGGCAGGAGGTCATGGAAAGACTGCTCGCTGGGCCCTGTGCACGCCTGTGCTTGTGGGCACGACCCGTCCTGTTCCAAGGCCAGATCGTCCAGCCCACCACCCTGCTCCTGTGGGCAGGGTCCTTCTCACAGCCCTCATGAGGGTCAGTGACCTACCTGCTCAGCACCCTTGTGCCAGTCATCTTGCTTTCCCCTCCCCTTTCTCATAGCAGCCCCTTGTTGCTCCCCTAGGGGCTGCACTGCTGGTCTGGCCCATCCCCCAGTTGGTCCCCAAGCCCAGGGGCCAGATCCCTCAGGTGGGACCTATCCACAGGCAAGGAGAGGGAAAGGCAGATAGAGGCCCTTTGCTTTGTCCCTTCAGTTTGCTGAGCAGGGCCTGCGGGCTTGGGCTCCCACACACCTGTGGAGACCTGTGGGAGGAGCCAGCACAGATTGAGGGGAGCATGAGGGGAGTGCTCCAGCTGGGGGATGTGCTCTCTCTTCAGGTCTCCTTACCTTCAAAGAGCCACTCCAGGCCCCACTTAGAAGCCCTTTTGAAGGCCTGGAGACAGTCCAAGGCTGGAGCAGCAGGTGGCCACTCATGCACAGGGTCCATGGCTGGGTTCCTGGGGGGAGGAGGAAGGGGGAGTGAGGGCTTGGACAGGCACCCACACACTAGGAGGCCCAGTAGTCCTCACACAGCCCTGGTGGGTCTGCTGAGCACTCACTAGTCACTGGACAGAAGACAACCCAGGCCCCAGTGCTCCTCATGTGTTACGGGCCTCACTGCACCATGGGCACGCCCAGTCCAGAGGGGTGAGCTGGCTGTGGGGGTAGGGAGGAGCACTGGCACAGAGAATGTGGGTGTCCTCACGTGGGACCTGCTGTTCACTTCTGGGGAAATTCAACAGGGCAGCCACCTGGGTTGCAAAGACGCACCCCACCCCCCATCTGTCTTCGTCCCTCCAGATATGAGGTCTGGGTCCTGTGCACATTGGCCAGACTAAAATGACCTCCTCCTGCCTGCTGCGCATTGCATTGGAGTTCTGGCCTTCAGGGCCTCTAGATTAGCTGGCGCCAGCGGGCCCCTCCCTTCTCCCGCTGTCCTCCTCCCAGCATGCTTCCCACAGCTGCCAGCTACCTGCTGAGTAGTGCAGCCCCGGACCTGCAAGGGCTTCTCTCCCTAATGAACTTTCCTTGCTGAGAGGTGGGGAGGGGTGTGGAGAACCCTGGTCACATTTGAGCACCACACCCTCCCCCCTTCCCCTCCAGTCCCTCAGCTTCCTGCTGCCTGCACAGAGGCTGACTGGTTCAGGCTCAGTCCTGAGGGGGCAGCGAGGGAATACTGGGGAGCACCCGTGGAGCTGGGTGGGGGGCTTGCTGTTTGTGACCCCAAGAGCAGGTGTCTGTGCCTGGCTGAGGTCCTGAGGCAGCCACCAGACCAAATGTGGGTCAGGCTGTGCTTGTGACCCGCACAGGCTACCGCTGCTGTGTAGCGGGAGGGAGAACTCAGCAAACCCAACAGTCCTGTCCTGCCCGGCACAATGACCAGTGTCTCTGGCTTGAGTTTGGGGGTTAGCCAGGAATGGAACGTTTTAAAATGAGTCTAAAAGAAAAGAGAACACGGACTTGCTTAGGATGGCAGGCGGGGCAGGATCACGGCAGGGGTCACGGGGCCGGCGCTCATCCAAGGGGCGGGCGTGGGAGGGCCTCCTCCAGGTGGGTAGGAGGCGGCTACAGGAGCGGGGACTACGGGAGCGGGGCCACAGGATCTGGACGGGACGTCTTCCAGTTGTGACCAAGGTGCTGTGTGGGTAGGCGCGGGGGGCTCGGGAGGGGACTCCGGGAGGGGTGGTCCAGTAAGGGCTGCAGCTAGAGGGGGTGGGCGGGGTGGGGGTGGTGCAGTGGAGGCTGCAGCCCGGGGCGGGAGGGATAAGGGGCGGGGTGGTCCTGGAGGAACTCTGAAGGGGCTGTAGCAGGGACTGTCCAGCGGGGGCTGCATCCCGGGGTGGGGGGTAGAGGACTGTCCAGATCCAGCGGAGGCTGCAGCCGGGGTGGGGGGAGTGCTGGGGGTGACCCAGCAGACTCCGGGAGGGGTCAGGGAGGGATAGTCCAGCGGGGAGGGGGCTCCGGGAGGTTAGTCTAGTGGGGGCTGCAGCCGGGGTCCGAAGGACGCACAGGGGTGAGCCCGTGCTCCGCATTCGGCGCCCAGACCTGCTCCACCAGGGAAATGTGTGCACTGAGGAGGTGACGGGGGCGGGTCGGGTGGGAACTGAGACCCAAGACGAACCACACGCGCGTGTTCACCTCCCGGAGCGCAAAAGGGGCGGAACCCTGGGTTCCGGGGCGCGGCCGTAAATCGCGCGCTTCTTTTACCGGAAGTCCTGCAGCTGCGCGGGTAATTTTTGGCGCTGTCGGACCAGCACCGCCTGTCATGGCTTGGAGGTAGTTCCCGGCGCTACTGCCTACCTCTCAGGTAATCGACCTGCAGGGCCGGGGATGTACGAACGCGGCCGGAGACTGGCCGGGGCGCGGGTTCCCGTCTCAAGGGGGCAGGCAGGGTGCGCGAGTTCTGCGTCTTAGGGATGAATGCAGCGGGCTGCGCGGGCCTGGGGCGCAGGGTGAAAGCCGGTAGCACAGGCTCCGCTTCTCAGGGGTGAATGCACAGGAGTGCAGGCCGGGACGAGGGGATCCTGGTGAGGCGCGGTCCGGGCTGCGGGATGACTGGCGGGCCTTGAAGTGAATGCGGCGGGAGGCGGGAGGGGAATGCAGGGGTGCAGGCCGGGACCTGCAAGCAGGGAGCTGGGCGAACAGTGACACAGGCCGGTTCCCGCCAGCTGTGACTGTGGGCTCCACGCGCAGCACCCATCCCTGCCACTGTCCACGTGTTAGCCTCCCCCACCCCCGCACCCCCCGCTGCCACCGTAGCATTTCTGCCCTGTGGTCCCGGCGGGCACTCTCTGAACCTTTGCGATGCGGCAGGCTTACCTCCGATCAGCTCCCCCCTGGCCAGCTTGCTGGTGCTGTGAGCGCCGCCCTGATCTTCCCCGGGGACTCAGGGTGCCTCCCTGGCGCTAGCAGAGAATCACGTGGACATGGCGCGCGCTCAGGCGCCCTGGCGCTTAGTGGCTGTTGAGCCCTCTGGGCGCGCTGGAGCTCGTCCCAGAACCTGCACAGTGTGCCTGCAGCCCGTTCCTGAGTGGGTCCTTCCAACCCTTGAACTAGAGAACTATTCCCAAGGGTCCTGGCTACTTCCCCTGGGGAATCCAGCGAACTGTGCGGTCATATAGCAGGATGCCCAAGTTTAATAAGCCTTAAGGCAGGTGAGCCCCACTCAGGGTACAGGTGAGACTGAGTCAGCTCAAACCTAGAATGCATAAACAAAGCTATTTTCCAGGCTGCCCAAAGTGCAGGAGGAATAAAGTTCATACAGCTGAGATCTGAGCACCCTGCCAAGAGGTGACCAGGTGCACCTTGCCCCTAAAGGAGACGGAGGGCCCCCTTCAGCCCAGACTGAATCTGCAGAGACAGGAACCTTTGGCCTAGCAGAATTGCCTTCCTCTGTAGGTCTGGGAGCCCTGGACCCGTCGCCAGCGTTCCCAGCTGCTGTGTCACCCAGCTCTGTTGGACTGCATCCCTCTGCCAGTTGTCCTCTTGGCTTGGCACTGCTAAACTGCTCTCTTTCAGAGGGTGCCTTGGTGGACTGAATAACCCAAATGTTAGTTACCTGTGCTGGGCAAAGGTGAGCAACACCTCCAGGGTGTTTTAAACTTGTGAGTTGGGTGTCAGTGGGTTTAATTTTACTCATTGGGACACAGAACTCTGTCATGTAACCTGGGAGGGTGCAAAGATTTTTTTTTCTTCTTTTTTTACCAGCAGGTGTTTTTAAAATGTAAGAAACCTCCCTGGGTAACCTGGGAGAGTAGTAGCTCGTTTAATTTTTTTTTTTTAATTGATTCTTTTTAGAGAGGGAGGAAGTGGGGAGGAGAGATTGAGACATTGATTGGTTGCCTCTGGTACATGCCCCAACTTGGCATCAAACCTGTGAACTTCTGTTTCAGGGCATGACACTCCAACCAACTCAGCCATACTGGCCAGCGAGTAGTAGCTGGTTTAAAACACAAAATGAGAGAGGTGGTGTTTGCTTTTGTTTTGCTTTTGGGTCTCCAACCTTCCTAGGTGCTGGGAGGACAAAGCCAGGGGGAGCCACTGGTGCTCCACACTCCCCCCAGGGCAGGTGCAGAAAGAGTCCAAAGGGGGAACTGAAAGAGCCTTCTGAAGTCAGATATACAGGTCCTTGGGGAGGCCGCCCCATGATCCTCTGGCTGCTCCTGAAGTTGCAATGGACTGGGCTGGGGTCAGGACACGTGGGGTCCAGGCCTGGTTTGCTGCTCACTGGCCCTGAGCTTGGGCACCTCACTTGCCTTCTGTGCTGTGTCCCTTCCCCTCATCTTCCTGGAGCCCAAGGTTGGGCTGGGCCTGTGTGGAGTAGAGCAGTCTGGGCTTTTCAGGCCGTGGACTTGGAGTTTTATCCAGGGACGCTGACTCCCTGCCAGTGGGTGATTACACTCACGTGAGCTGAGTAAACTGACAGAATAAGACTGAAGGCAGGTGAGCCCCACTCTGGGCAGCAGGGCCCAGCCTTGGTGACTTCGGGCCTGGCTTCTGAGTCTGCTCTTAAAAAAAAAAATGTTTATTGATTTCAGAGATGGAGAGAAAGAAACATCAATGAGGAGAGAGAATCATTGATCAGCTGCTTCCTGCTGGCCCCCTACTGGGGATTGAGCTTGCAATCTGGGCATGCGCCCTGACCGGGAATCAAACCATGACCTCTTGGTTCATAGGTTGACGCTCAATTGCTGAGCCACAGCAGTGGGGCCTGCTCTTTCCTTTGAACATCAGTCCCCACACAGGTGGCCTTCCCTCTTGGAGATGCCAAGTAACGGCTAAGCCGCCCACTGTGTCCTGGACCTGAAATCTGCTCTGTAAGCATGCTTTGGCCCTGTGGTGCTCCACATTTCTTCCATATTAAAAATGGACTTCAAATAAGACCCTGGATTTTTGGCCACCGCTCCTGGGATGAGGCCAAGCTCCTCCGCATGACCCTGTTCTGCCCGAGCTCGCTGTGCAGTTACCCGGCCATCCAGTCGTCACCTTTCCCACAAGGCTTTGCAAGTGTGTGTACAACAGTGTGGACACAGCGTGGGGAATGCATAGGAGAGAGGCACATTCCATAGGGCAGTGGTCGGCAAACCGCGGCTCTTGAGCCACATGCGGCTCTTTGGCCCCTTGAGTGTGGCTCTTCCACAAAATACCACGTGCGGGCGCGCACGTACAGTACGATTGAAACTTTGTGGCCCATGCACAGAAGTCGGTTTTTGGCCTGGGCAAATCTATTTTAAAGAAGTGGTTCGGAAGTGGGGTGTCGGTGGGTCAGGCGACGGGAGACGCTGTGCAGGCGGGCTGCGGGATACGCAGCGCGGGGGAGGTGCGCACAATTCATGCACGAGTTGAGTGAGCCAGTCAGTCAGCAGTCTCGTTGTGCAGTGGTTAGTGCTAGTCGCGTCCGCAAATCGCACGCGCGGGTGACGAAAGTACCTTCTCGAAGCATAAAGTTACCTGCAACCAGCTGCAAATCCTACAGGTATTTTTGTCATCAATTTAAGAATTGTAATTATTTTGTGTTGGTGGCTTTATTACTATAAAATGAAACTTACCTGCTTAGAGGGGTTAAAATGCCTAACTTTGCTAACTTCTCTTGCTTACTGTTTATTTCCTTCCTTAGCACTCATGACAACTGCAGTTATTTGATTTGACTATTTATTTATTTAAAGTTGATCTTCCTCACTAGAATGTAAGTTCCAGAAGGATGTCATGTTATCTCCAGCTTTAGACACATAATCGGCATTCCATAAATATATTAGTGTATTGAACTCATGTTGTTAATACTAAGTACTCAATCCAAAATTATTAATTAAGTTAATAACAATGTACCTACCTATATAGTTTAAGTTTAAAAAATTTGGCTCTCAAAAGAAATTTCAATCGTTCTACTGTTGGTATTTGGCTCAGTTGACTAATGAGTTTGCCGACCACTGCCCTACAGGATATAAACTTAGTCGCAGGCTCTCCTTTAGTTCAAAGACATGTAATCATGAACTGCCCCAGGGAGTCCCCAGGGTGAACTTTTAGTTGTTCTTGCCTGGCCTGCTGTGCTGGCTCCTGTTATGTAACTCAGCAGGAACGTGGGGGCTGTGGTAATTATGTGACCCAGCAGGTTGAGCCCTGCACTGGCCAGTGTCCCCAGACTGCAGAGGTGGAGCTGGAGGGCTGCCTGTGAGGTCAGGTGCTTGATGGGTCAGCCCTGAGGGTGGGGTGAGAGGGAAGGGGAAGAGTTTGTAGGACTCTGAGGAGGCAGTTTGGGTTGCTACTCGAGAGGCCCTTGTGAACCCCGTCCCTCCGGCCCTGGACCTGGGTGTCTGGAGACACTCTCCCCACTCTGAGGTCCACCCGTATTGAGGGCTCCCTGGCCATCACCTGGGGTGGCTCCTTGCATGTCCATCCTTCTGGGAAGTGGGGCTGGTTCACCTGTGTTGTGACCGGTTGTTTACCCTGAAGCCTGGGTACTGGCGTCCAGGGGGTGTTCTTGTCCGTACCATCCAGGAGGTCTGAAGCAGTGTCTCTTGGGCTTGCTCACTTGGTCACCCACGGGCATGCCTGTGAGGCATGTTAAGGTGCACAGTCCTGGCCAGCCCAGACCTTCAGGTGGCCACGTGGGACGGGGCTCAGAGCTCATCTCTGACAGGCACTTCCTGTAGTTTAAGAAGCACTGCCTGTGGTTTCGGAAGCTGTAGAAATGAAACCAAGTGTGTTGGTTCTTGTACCTGAGACCTGTGCCATTGCCCCAGGATTTGGGGACATCAGGTAAGGGAAGTTCCCATCGCTTCTGGAGATGACAGAAGGGCCAAGTACAGGGCTCCTGGGGACCCTGGGCTTAAATTCTTGGCTGTTTGCCCATGCCTGCTGCTCAGGTGGGTGAGTGTATGGTTGCTCTGGTTTCCAGGGAGCAGTGCACTAAGGGTGGGAAAGTGAACTGAGGGGTGTCCTGGGGCTGGAATGGGATCCCCAGTGGAATGTGTACCTGAGGTGGGCCGCTCTGCCTGTAGTACACCCTGTGGCCTGGGGCTGCCCCCTGTGTTGAAGGGGCCAAGGCCCTCCCAGCTGTTTGTGCAAGCTCCAGGGGGATTGGAAAAGCAGTCGGGCCTGTGTGGCCTGTGTGCTCTTTCCTGGGTGCTGGGGGAGGGGACCAAGTTTGCCCTCCCCTGCCTGGCTGCTTGTTTCATTTGGACCCTTGAAATGGTGGGTGCTATCCCAGGATCCTGTAACACCCAGGCCACTGTTGCCCCCACCGCCCCCTCCCTTTGAAGTTCTCTAATTCCAGAAGCTGCCCCCTGCCCATGCCCTGCCCTTCCTTTTGGCCCCACAAACCCACCAAGCCCAGCTTGAGGGGTTTCACTGCCCTCCCTGCACCTCATTTTCCCGGAGTTACAGAAATAAGCTCTGGGGTTTAGAAGGCAAAGAACTCTCACTCATCAGACCACAGTTCCCTTTGCTGAAGCTCTCGTCCAGTGCAGGGTAATCAGAGGTCTGGTGAGCGGTCTCTTTCTGCCCTCGGTGGCCCCTGGGGGTCTCTGCTGGCCCCTGGTTTTCCTGGACCTTATCCAGGGAGGAATGTAGGAACAATTCCTGCTTGGATGGTCTCTGAGCAGCATGCTGGCCAAGCGCACAGGGCATAAGTGCCCAGAATCTGGTGGCTTTTTCAGAGCACCGGGTCCTATATCTTGGGAAACTTTTGCTGCTACTGCTTGGGGATTAGAGGAGATTTCTCCCCAAATGCAGACCTTCTGCAGTCACCCTCCCAGAGCTGGTTGTGTAGTAAGGGGCACAGAGCTGTCCCAACATCTTTCAACCTCCCCCTGCCCCCTCCCACACACACACCCAGGGTGTCCCCGCCCCTCCTGAGCCATGGAACTGGTGCGCCCTTCCTCATTCCTATCATGTCAGCTTGGCATGGACACCCTTAGTCACCTGACACAGTTTTCATGGCAGCTCCCTTTTTGACTCTCACTGAAAAGCGAAGTTGGTATCAGTGCCTTAATGGAAAACGAATAGCATGTAACATATAGAAAAGGAGTCATAAAAAAGGCAAAACAGCAGATTACTTTGTATTCAGATAACTAGACATGAGCATGTGTCTGTGCTATAAGGGGCGAGTGGTGGGCATCAGAACAATGCCATCACCCTTGCACCAAACGGAGGCACCACCAAAGCGCCCCTGGGCCAGGCCACCCTCCCTCAGCTCATGGTGGTCTGGAGCTCCTTCTGTCCCCTGTGGCCCCTTCCCTTCTGGTACACTCCTCGCTGGCCCCTGCTTCTCCCTTTGCCTCCCCACCTGCTCTGGGCTCTTCCTCCAAACCCCATCTGCCCAGTCTTGTGCATGGAGTCCCCCAGAGGTCAGCGGGACAGTGAGAGCAGGCTGTCCCAGACACCCCTCCTGGGGAGGGACCTGTGCCCTCAGAGGTCTCCACAGGCTGGTGGTTACCACATGGGGCCAGGAAGCCCTGGAGATGCCCTGGAGGTGGTGATAGGCTAGTCTGGGTGGATGTGGCATCTGGATTGTGGAGAGCCCCATCCAGGTTGAGAGCATGGGGCTGGGGCCTGTGGGCCTCTCTCCCCAACTCCGTGTGAATGTGGGATCCTGACTGAGTGGGAGAGGGAAGACGGCCGGCCCTTCAGCCAAGTTCTGGGGAGGAGGGGAGGTGTCTGCGGGCTGCTGAGTTGCCCTGACTCTCTGCTCTTCCCTCCAGGGGCAGCATCACCTTCAATCCCTCCAGGACCGTGTGGAGTCTGGGCAGCATGGCATCCTCCAGCCAGAGGGTGGAGAAGCCAGTGTCCCCAGAACCCCAGGCGGAGCCCGGGCCGGAGCCTGGGCCAGGCCGCGAGCTTCAGTCCTGGCAGTGGCTGGTATTCTACCTCTGCTTCTACGGCTTCATGTCCCAGATGCGGCCCGGGGAGAGCTTCATCACCCCCTACCTCTTGAGCCCTGCTAAGAACTTCACGAAGAAGCAGGTATGTGGACATGGGGATAGTGGGCAGGGGTGGCCCCTGGATGGGGAAGCAGCTGGGGCTGTTGAGGTTAGGCAGCCATGTGGTGTCCTGGGTCCTGTCCCCAGTCTCACTTATTAACCAGGCCAGTTAAAGAGTGACAGTGGCCGCAGAGGGGTCCCAGGCTGCCATGGGTCTCTGAGGGAGGAGTGCAAGGGGGGGTAGAGGGAGCCCACCTGCTTGGCACCTGCTTCCAGCAGGGACTCAGCAGCTATTTGCCTAAGGAGATTACTGAAGGAATTTCCTTCACTCCCAAGGAGGACAAAGGGTCTTGTTGAAAGCTGACTAAGTAAGCTTACCCCAGAGGTGAGGGGTGGGGTAGGAGGAGGAGGCAGGACAGGCTCTAGCCCTAGTGCTTTCCTTCTCCAGCTTTTGCTATTTCCTTCTCCATAAAAGAAAACCAAGAAACTCAGAGGCTGTTGGTTGATGAGGCGCACACTCAGGATGTGCATTCGAGCTCTGGTCACCACCCTGCTCTCCACCTGAGGACCCCGGCACTGCCCCAGAGCTGGTCCCGGTCAGAGCTGGTCCTGATCAGAACTGGTTCCGGGCTGCTCACCTCCATTCCCCCAGCCTCCTCTGCCCTTCCCATGTGGCTACCAGCCTCCCCACCCCTGTCACCACAGCTGGATCTCCTTGGGTCCCACTGTGCCCTTGATTTCTTCGGGGAGCCCCTGCCTTTCCCTGGCGTGGAGCTTGGCCCCCACCCCTTGCATACCCTCAAGTTGTTTAAGTCCAATGTAGTGTCTGTGCGAATGCAGCCTGTCCCCTCCAAGTCGCCATCTTGGAGGTAAGGAAATGGCCACGTACTGGCCCACACAAACTCAGAGTCTGCCACTGCGTCTGATCCCATGGCCGGTGCTGACTGCTGGAGCTGGTCACTTCCCAGGTGAGGCTGGGTAGGGGGCTGGGGCCTATGGGGTTGTCTCCTGTGCCCCCCAGACCCTCCTGGACTCCCGAGTAACCATCCCTCACTCACTGGGCAGCCGAGGGTTCTCCTTCCTTAGAACACTGATCAGATCTTAAAGAGGGGCCATCGTCTGCTGTGATTACAGGAATCATCATGTATACGAAGCTCTAGTAAGATAACAGGAAAAATGTCTATAGCAAAAAATGTATAAGTCCCATTCACCTTCCCTCTCTGGTTGCACATTAACTGATTATATAGCAGGTTCCAGAAGTGAAGCCATTCCCCCAAGCTTGGGTGTCATCAGAGAGACGCCAGGCTTGTGTCTGGGAAGTGCGCATGAGCCTGCCTGCCGGGCCTGGCTGGGGAGAGTTACCCACGTGGGTCAGAGACTGTCTTACAAAGGGCACACCCAAGGGGATTAAACCCGGTGTGTCTGCTCTCAGTGTGTCACCCTGAGGGAGGATGCTGCTGTATCCTGGACACCGACACTTGCTCCCTCTGCCCGAGGCCATAGCTTCCAGTTTCTCTCTTGCCCCTGTTGACCTTCTGCCCATCTGATAGCTACCGGATTTGTGTTTCCTCGATTTCTGCCTTGGCGTGTTTCCTGGCTGTTCCCATGCCAGGGCTGTGAGTAAACCAGTGGAGCGAGAGGGTCCAACCCGCCTCACCGTGGGCCCCGCAGGCTGACCGGGGGCTCTACTCTGGCCCTTGGTTTCCCTCTGTCAAGTGAGGCCTTGGAGCCTGCTGGCCTCTCGGGGCTGAGGGCCACCTGTGCTGGTCTTAGCAGACAGTCACGCTCATGGTGTGGTTCTGGTGAGGGGGCTACCGCAGGGCATTGGTGGCTACGGTAATGAGCTGCATGGCGTCACGAGCCTGCTGTCCCACAGGTCACCAATGAGATCACGCCGGTGCTGTCCTACTCCTACCTGGCCGTGCTGGTGCCCATGTTCCTGCTGACGGACTACCTGCGCTATAAGCCGGTGCTGCTTCTGCAGGGCCTGAGCTATATCGCTGTGTGGCTGCTGCTGCTGTTTGGCGACTCCGTGCTGCACATGCAGTTCATGGAGTTCTTCTACAGCCTCACCATGGCCGCCCGCATAGCCTATTCCTCCTACATCTTCTCGCTCGTGCGCCCCGCCCAGTATCAGCGCATGGCGGGCTACTCCAGGTCCGCAGTGCTCCTGGGCGTCTTCACCAGCTCTGTGCTGGGCCAGCTGCTCGTCACCGTGGGCAAGTTCTCCTTCACCACGCTCAACTACATCTCGCTGGCCTTCCTCACCTTCAGCCTGATCCTCGCCATGTTCCTGAAGCGCCCCAAGCGCAGCCTCTTTTTCAACCGCAGTGAGCCTGCCCATGGCGAGGCCTCGCCCTCGGAGCTGGACAAGATGCACCCTGGCCCTGGCCAGCCCGCGGGCAGGAAGCTCTGCGGGACTCCGCTGGCGGGCTGGAGGGACTGGATCCTCATGCGCATGCTCTGGGAGTTAGGAGCCAGCCTGCGACTGCCACAGCTGCGCCTCTGGTCCCTCTGGTGGGTCTTTAACTCGGCCGGCTACTACCTGATCGTCTTCTACGTGCACATCCTGTGGAACGACATCGACCCCACCAAAGACACCACCAAGGTCTACAACGGTGGCGTGGATGCCGCCTCCACTCTGCTCGGTACGCCCAGCCAGCCCTGCCCGCCCTGCCCGCCCTAGGAGGATGGCAGACGGTGACTGTCCTGTCTCCCCAGGCGCCATCACCGCCTTCACCGCGGGCTTTGTGAAGGTCCAGTGGGCCCTGTGGGCGAAACTGATCATCGGAGCCGTGACAGCCGTGCAGGCCGGGCTGATCTTCCTCATGCACAAAACTGGCAGCATCTGGCTGTGCTACATGGCCTTCGTGCTCTTCCGTGGCTTCTACCAGTTCCTGGTGCCCATCGCCATGTGAGTTGGGCTGTTTGGGGTGGACGAGAGGCCGAGCAGCGTGAAGCAAACTTGGTGGTGGGAGGAGCGGTGAACCCTGGACACCTTTAGGCAGGGGCGCAATGTCCCCTTGTCCATAGCACGCACGTCCCAGCTGCCTGCCATGGCCCTGAGACTTAGCCAGGAGCCCTCCCATGCAGCATATTCTCTGCTCCTCCCATCAGGGCCCCTTGGTGTCCACAGGGACTGGTCCTCGTGAAGTTTTTCCTCCCAGCCTCCCTGCCCCGTTTCCCAGGCCCCAGGAGCTGCTGTGGTCCCATCTTGGGTAGCCCCATGGCCTTCCCCGCCCTCTCTGTTCCCACTGTGGGGAACAGCAGCTGCTGGCCAAGGAGTGACCAGGTGTCCCAGCTTACCTTCGGTCCAGGACTCTCCTGGTGCCCTCATGTTCCTCACACCCCTGGGGACCCTCCTGCATCTGCCCAGGGACATCCTGAGACCTGCCCACCAGCTCCCCTGTACTTCCAAAACCTTCCCCTGCTCATGTTCTGCTTGCTCCTATGACCCTCTGTGTTCCTGTGAACTGACCTTTCACAAAGCCACTTATTCACACCACAGTGCTCATACCACACAGGCACACACTACATGTGCTCACACCATATGTGCTCACACTACATGTGCTCACACCACACGTGCTCACACCACATAGATACACAGAAGCCTGCCTCCCTGCGCCTCCTGCACCTGGTGGGTGTGTAGGTTACCATAGTCCCCCTCCAATCCCCAAAGTGGGCCACCTTCTATCCTCCTCCTACTCACACCCATGTTAGAAGATCTTTCCCACCTCGTCTTCAGCTCAGACAGTATCCTCAGTCTCCTGACCCACTGCAGTTCCCACCTCCATGGAGTGGTGGCCTGACTCCCCTGTGCCGTCCCACAGAAGCTCCTGGCACACACTGCCCTGTCCACTTTCGGCCTGCACCTGCCCTGGGCTCAGAGCCTGGGCCAAACCTAGTGACCTTCCTGTCCTCCTGAGGGCCAAGTTGCCAGGCACCCTGACGACACTCCTGGCAGAAGACACCTTTCCATTTAGCTGGCCGAAATGCAGGTGTAATTGGTCCTCTTGGTGGCACGTGGCATGCCACATAGCTAATCCCCAACTGGTGGGGATGCCGCCTTCAGTATTTTGCTATGACAGGCAACAGTGAGATCACTATCCTCTCAACCTGCATTTTCCTTTCCAAATTCTGATGATGGTCTCAGGTGTTCCTAGAAAGGAACTGGCCGGGTCAAAGGGCATGAGCTTTGGGGGATAGGGGGTGTCGGTAGATACGGCAGATGCCTGCCGGCCAAGTGAGCTACCCTGTGGCCTGAGGGCCAGCTTGCCTTTTCTTAGTGCAGCAGGGCTGGCTCCTGCCTGGTGTTAGTGGACGCTTCACATTGGTGGGCTCTCTTCCTGCTGGGTTTTCCCGTTTTCCCTCTTTATCTGTAGCACACTTACATCTACCGTATGCAGTGGGTGTGCTATGCTTTGCCTCTCATCCACTTACAGAGTAGGTGTGCCAAGTGAAACACTCGTGCAGAGGGTGTGGCGTGTGGGTGGCATGGCATTCGCGGTGCTGGCGGGACCTGACCCAGCTCCGGTGTCCTAGGAATTAATCTGTCCTCTCAGACCTTTGATTGACAAGGCCTTTTCTCAATTTGTGTGCAGTCTTTGTCATGTGATTGTTCATTCTTCAAAATATATTTTATTGATTTTTTTTTACAGAGCGGAAGGGAAAGGGATAGAGTTAGAAACATCGGTGAGAGAGAAACATCGACCAGCTGCCTCCTGCACACCTCCTACTGGGGATGTGCCTGCAACCAAGGTACATGCCCTTGACCGGAATCGAACCTGGGACCCTTCAGTCCCCAGGCCGACGCTCCATCCACTGAGCCAAACCGGTCAGGGCCATTCTTCAGAACTTTAGAATATTTCTTTTTTTGTTGTTGTTTAATTGACTTTAGAGAGTAAGGGAAAGGGAGAGAGAGAGAGAGAAACATCAGTGATGATAGAGAATCATTGATCAGCTACCTCCTGCAAACCCCCCACTAGCAATTAAGCCCACAACCTGGGTATGTGCCCTTGACTGGAATCGAATCATGACCTCCTGGTTATAACTGGACACTCAACCACTGAGCCATGCCGGCTGGGTGAGAACTTTAGACTATTTCTTGTTTAGTCATTATTTTTAAAGGTACTTTGGGAATTTTAATTAGAAGTACGTTCAAATGTTAATTTCTTTGCAGAGGATTGGGAGCTCTGAGAATATTAATTCCTTCTTCTCTCCTATTCGTTTAACTGTTCTTTCTCTAACTTACTGAATCACTGAATGACTTTAAAATCATTAAAGACTCTACTATCATTAAGGACTTTAATTCTAGAACTTTTCTCATGATGCTCTGCCCATTCTCCTGAGGATGATTTTCTGAGAATGCTGCAAGGAATGAGTTACTCCATGCCAGGGTTACTAGGAGACTTTTTAAATGTCTTCCCCGAGTTTGCATTTGGCACTATTTTGCATTCACTTTATGAGTCATTGAGGGAGGATGAAGTGGGTGGGCTGGGTGCTGGGCTGGGCTTGCTGGTCTCCAGTGGCCTTAGCAGGCATGGCCAGTCATCAGACCCCATAGCTGTTTCTGGCAGCCAGTGGCAGCCTAGACGTCACCTTTGTACTTGTGGGCACTTCTTGGGCTTCCCGGCCGAGGCTGATCTTGGCCTGCTTTCCCTTTAAGTTTTCAGATCGCGTCTTCTCTTTCTAAGGAGCTCTGTGCCCTGGTCTTCGGAATCAACACGTTCCTTGCTATTGTTCTCAAGACCATCATCACCCTCATCGTTTCCGACAAGCGGGGCCTGGGCCTCCACGTCCGATCCCAGGTCAGCCCCTGCGTTGGGCTTGCTTCCTTGGGGAGAGAGGACTTGGGGTGGGGGGGTGGCGGGGGGTGGGTGTCTAGGCCAGGGTCTCCTGGTGTTCACCCAACCAGCAGCAGTGTCGCCTCCCTGGGCCCCAGACCACAGATCTACTGAGGGCAGGGGGCAGGCACGGGGCGGGCCGGGGTCTCCAGCTGGACACACTGGACTTACTGAGTCAGAGCAGGAGCGGGAAGTGAGAGGCCCCCAGCAAGGAGGGAAGGAGGGTCAGAGGACTGGCGCCGGGAGCCACGACCTGGCAACCGCCGTGCCGGCCTGTCCCGCTGCCTCGGGCCCCGGCTGGAGCTGAAACGCCGCTGACTCCACTTGGAACATGAGGCCTCTTAGTTGAGTCTGGATGCAGGTCATTTCTGGAGGTCTTCCTGGCCCTGGGCATCCCCCATGGTGGCTGAGGGGCTCCTCACGGGAAGGGCGGGGGTGTGCCAGGAGTGAGTGGTGGGAGGGGCTGTCTGGAGGGTGTGAGCCCTGTGCCCAGGGATGGGCGGGTTGAGGTCTCTGGTGCAACATCACTACCAGATTATTGACCTCTTAGGGTCAAGAAGCAGAAGCTCCCCTCCCCTCGGGTCCCTCAGGCTGCCCTTTCATGTCCACACCACCTGACTCCCACCTGACTCCTCCCTCTTCCCCAACCGTGAGACCACATCTGTACCCAGGGTTCTGCTCTTTGCGTCCTTTTCCTTCCTGTTGTGTCAAGTTCTGTCTCGATCGTCTCCTTCCAGTCCAGAGAACCTCCTTTAGCCATTATTTTTACTCCTGAAGGCTTCGGGGCTGACAGTTTTTTCCAGCAGGTGAAAGCTCTGCCACTTCCTTGTGGCCTTCATAGTTTATGATGAAAAATTCTGCCATTCTAATTCTTCTTCCCCTAAGGTGTCTTTTTTTAAGTGGCTGCATTCAAGATTCTTTTCTTTGTCTTTCACTTTCAGAAGGTTGAACATGGGGTGGGGTGTCCTTGCCACTGTGGACGAGTGGGGGTGAAAGTCCTGAGTCCGCAGGGGTGGAGTTGGGCGTTGGCACCCCCGGTGGGTGGGAGTGAAAGTCCAGACTTTCCATGTGAGCTCTGTGGGGTGAACATTGCAACACCCACGGGGACTTGAGCAACACTCCCCCATGGGCAGGGGCCTCCTGACAGCCCGGGTGACGAGGGTGGTTCTAGCCAGAGCAGGGCTGTTCTTCGTCTATCACCTCCTGTCCTGCTGGGTGTCCGTCTCCTGGTCCTCTGGTAGAGAGAGCAGCTTTGTTGGGGCTTTTTTTTCTACACATGTTGCCATTTCTGGGCTGCTGGCCTGTTTAGTTTCAAAATACCTGCAGCAAAAAAGGAAATAAAGCCCGAGACCCATCACACGTCACCATGTTGTGCCTCGGGCTGTGGGGTCCCAGCTAGGCTGCCCCCCACCCTCCCACCTGCAGTCACTCTCTGATGCCTCGGGCTCTGGGGTCCCAGCTGGGCTGCCCCCCACCCTCCCACCTGCAGTCACTTTCTGATGCCTCAGACTCGGGTCCCAGCTGGGCTGCCCCCCACCCTCCCGCCTGCAGTCACTGATGTGTGCTCTGTGTAGCTTCCAGGGCTTCAGTCATACTGGGGAAGAATACGGGAACCATGTGACTCCATCTTCCTGGGAGCAAAGTCCTTCCTGCTTTACTTTCCTAGAAGGGATGAGGGTGCCTGTGTCATGAGGGGCTCAGGGAGGGACTTGAGCCGGGCCCGGCCCACAGTCGCCTCGAGACCATCCGGACCTCCAGTCCCCCGGGTGCGCGTGAGAATCAGGAGGGACATTTTTGTGGGCTGGCTGTGCATCTCTTGGTGTCACTACTGGTCAGTTTTGCCCGTCACCAGAGCGGCCACTGGCTCACTGTGTGGGGCTGTCCGTCCTTGACCGGCTTCACCACACACACGGATGTCCGCGAGCCCTCAGCAGTGTGGGAACTCTGCCCATGGAGCGAAGTGTGCACGTGTGGTCACACAAAATAAGCAAAGCATTGGGGGTAGCTCACAGAGGCCACACGGAGACAGCAAAGGTGCCGGGGTTCTGAGAGAAAGTGGTGGGAGCTCCCCCAGGGCTGTGCCGTGTGGCGGCAGGAGTGTGAAGGGCAGGCCTTGTGCACTGTGGGGCCTGCTCCTGCGCTGGCCTCTCACCCCTAGTGCCCACCTCACCCTTGCAGTGGTCCCGTGGCCTCTGAGCAGGAGGGAAAGAGAGGGAGGAATACACATCCATGTGGGCTGCCTCCCGACTGTCCCTCCCTTGTCCCCCTCCCCTCCCCTCTCCAAAGCCCCCTCATCTCCCAGGCCGCCCCTTATTCCCCACCCACACTTGCACCTTTCTCTGTTCCAGTTCCTCGTCTACTTTGGGTACTTCGTGCTGCTGTCCATTGCCTACTTCTTGGGAGCTGTGCTGGGGACCCTGTGGCACTTCCTGAGGAGCCACCACCAGCCTCTGCCCCTGGCCCAGGAGCTAAGGAGCCCCTCGGAGGAGAAAGCTGCTCAGTTGCTGAGCCTGCAGGATGGGGTCCTCAACAACCTGCAGCCCGAAACCACAACCCTGGCCCCGGAGGACGGAGCATGGACCACAGGACCAGTCCTGAGGGACCAGCGCGAAGCCAAGGCCTGACCTGCTCTCTCTGCCCAGCTCAGTGAGTGGCCAGATTCTGACACCAGAGGCAATCTGCTCTGCACCCTCCAACATCCTCACTGAGCCTGGCGCCCTGGCATCTCAACTGTCCCAACCCTGACAGGGTGCCGGTCCCTGTGAGCCTGGCGCCCTGGCATCTCAGAACTGTCCCAACCCTGACAGGGTGCCGGTCCCTGTGAGCCTGGCGCCCTGGCATCTCAGAACTGTCCCAACCCTGACAGGGTGCCGGTCCCTGTGAGCCTGGCGCCCTGGCATCTCAACTGTCCCAACCCTGACAGGGTGCCGGTCCCTGTGAGCCTGGCGCCCTGGCATCTCAGAACTGTCCCAACCCTGACAGGGTGCCGGTCCCTGTGAGCCTGGTGCCCTGGCATCTCAGAACGGTCCACCCCTGGCTGGGTGCCGGTCCTCGGAATCAGGAAGCTGGGTTTTTGGCAGTGTTTGAATTCTACTGTTCACATTATGGTACCAATGACCAATGGGGCCCCTATGACACACACCTCAAGGGCCACCTGCCTCGGCCAGTGGTGCCTTGGCTTGTCCTGCGGTGTCCCCAAGCCCTGCACCTCTCAGGCCTCACATCCTGACTACGCTCTGTAGCCTGCTGGGGACACTGGCAGCTGCCAGGCACTGTGGGTTGGGTTGTGTCCCCTGCCTACACATGGCCAGTGGTGGGGTTCCACATGCCCACCAGGCCTCCCCGCCTTCACTCCCCTTGGGAGGCAGATCCCATTGGTCCCTGGGGGCTGGGGAGATGGCCCCATGTGTTAGCCCGAGTGACATCAGCCCTGCAGGCTGTCGTGGGCCCTGTAGGGTGGTGGTGGGGGCCTGGGTTCCCAGGACTCGTGGCTAAACTGACATTTCTAGTTGCCCTGGTACTCACGTTTTAAACAATGCTATGCTCCTTTTTTTTTTAAACTGTCATGAATGTGAACCCTATTGGTCCTCTGTTTCTGCGGGAGAAGCTGATACTGGGGCAGGCGGGTGTTTCCCCGCGGGATGAAATGGGGGTGCTGCAGTCTTTGGGAGCTGGCTCCTTCTGGGCCCTGGGCCCTGTCGTCCTTCCCCTTCCTGATATGGGTTAACACTGGCCCGCCTCACTGGTGATGGAGGCCACCTGGGCTGCTCACACACCTGCCCGGAGGACATGCCTCCAGGGGCTCCAGGAACCAGTCATGTGAAAATGTAAGACTTGAAACATTAAATAAACCACATGACCTGAGTGTGAGGGGCTCCTGATTCCAAACTGGTGGTGTGTGTATGTGTGTGTTGGGGAGGGGGGGTGCTGGGATCTAGAGGGAGGCCAAGAAGGGGGACCAGCAAAGGAAGGGACCCAACCTGGGCCCACCATGTCCTTGATGCTGCTCCTCCCATCACCCTCTGTCCTCATGCCAAGTGGGGCAGCTGAGCAGCAGCCCAACAGGTGGGGTCCGGTGGAAAGGCCGCAGCTTGGAGTCAGCTTGGCAAGGAGGGTCAGAAACACTCCTGGCATAGGAGGGGCTGCTGGAGCTGGCTGAATGGGGCATCTCGGGGCACCATGAGAGTCGTGGAGAGTGTACACATGGGTTGGCCCAAGTCATGGCCGATGGTGTGGGTCAGACTGATGGATTGGTTGGTCCCTGGGCGTGTCCACAGAGGCCACTGCTGCCCCTCTGACCCCGCTGGGAAGGGGCAGCACTGAGCTCAGGCCCAGCACCATTTCCCATTTGTGCTTAGAGATCAAGCAAGACTTCATGGATTGGTTGGGGGGTTGGGGGGATCTCTTCTGGTCACTGACCCCACAATCAGGGCTCTGTGCCTTTGCACTGGGATACCTCCCCCCCGCCCCCCCCCCAGCTCAGCTGCTCCCTCTGAGCCCCTCCATGTGCATTGTGCTGCTCAAACCCAGAACCACCTCCAGGCTCCCAGAACCACCTTTCTCTGCTGCTCCCAAGCACCTTGGCCACCAGGGCAGGGATGACATCTGTTCCCAGGGCACAGTGAGGCCTTCTCTGTGTAGTGTGCAAAGCCCCTTGGGGTCAGACACCTCCCAGAGCCTGGCTAGCTGCAGCACCTGTGGGGAGAGCATGGTGGTACTGGGTGTGAGCTCAGGGCAGGCCACCTGCATGGGCCTGGGAAGCCTGCTGCCCCAGGGAGACCTGAGAAAGGTCATCCACATACACCTGATACACCCGGGAATGTCCATGCATACCCATGCACAGCCGTGTGCATCTGCATATTGCACACCTGGGCTCCCACTTGGGGGTGTGGGGATTTAGGCCCCAGAGAACTGGTCTCAGGACAGTGCCGGCCACATGCAAACCAGTGTCCATGTACATCACAGTCACCAGGACCAGCTCCTCTGGTTTATGGCTGCAGTGCATGGACAGCACACCTCGAGGGGTTGGGCTCTGGCCTGCCATCCCTCCCAGCATGGCCACCAATGGGGACACCTACCAGCTCTCCCAGAGACACACATGCACCTCAGAATGTCTCCCGAAGTTCTCCAACAAGGACAATGATGTGGGTTTTGAGATGCACTGTTGTGGATGGTGGCGAACAGGGCAAAACACATGGCCTCCTTCACTCATGCACATGGAGCTAGTTTGTGCACATGGTCCAGTCCTGTCCTGCCCCTGCTGCAGCCCCTCCATGCGGCCTCCATCCAGTGCTCAGAGGAGGCAGTCTGGCCAGGGACTTGAGGAGTCCTAGCTAGTGCTCCCAGGCAGAGCTTGGGCTGCATGGGTGTTGGGAACTCTGAGCTTGGAAAATGGGGACTGGGCCCGGCCAGTGTGGCTCAGCTGTTGAGCATTGACCTATGAACCGGGAGGTCACATTTTGAGTCCCAGTCAGGGCACATGTTCAGTTTATGGGCTTGATGCCCAGTGTGGGCTGTGCAGGAGGCAGCTAATCAGTGATTCTCATCATTAATGTTTCTATCACTCTCTCCCTCTCCCTTCCACTCTGAAATCAATTAAAGTACACACACACACACTAGAAGCCCAGTGCACACATTTGTACAGTGGGGTCCCGCAGCCTGGCCTGCACCCTCTCGTAATCTGGGACCCCTCAGGGGATGTTGGACTGCGGTGTTGGCCTGGTCCCCACAGGCCAGGCCGAGGGACCCCATTGGTGCACGAATTCGTGCACTGGGCCTCTAGTATGCATATAAGATCTTTGGTTAATCTCTTCTCGCTCTTCTCCCTCCCCCGAGATTCATCAGTGTGTTCCATGTTTCCATGCCTGCGCATTGAGCGTCTGCCCCCTGGTGGTCAGTGCGTGTCATAGCTACTGGTCGAATGGTTGGCCAGTTGCTTAGGCTTTTATATAGGTACTAGAGGCCCAGTGCATGGGATTCATGCACTGGTGGGGGGGGTGTGGCCTGTGGGGATCAGCCTGCTGTGGGAGCGCTGCTCATCCTGGTCAATGAGCGGCACCCCCACTGTGGGAGTGCACTGACCGCCAGGGGGCAGCTCCTGTGTTGAGCATCTGCCCCCTGGTGGTCAGTGTGCATCATAGTGACTGGTCGACTGGTCGTTCTGCCGTTTGGTTGCTGGGCTTTTATTATTTATGAGGATATATATTTTATTTTATTATTTTTTAAAAAATATATTTTATTGCTTTTTACAGAGGAAGGGAGAGGGAGAGTTAGAAACATTGATGAGAGAGAAACATCGATCAGCTGCCTCCTGCACACCCCCTACTGAGAATGTGCTTGCGACCAAGGTACATGCCCTTGACTGGAATCGAACCTGGGACCCTTGAGTGCATAGGCCGATGCTCTATCCACTGAGCCAAACCAGTTAGGGCAGATATATATGTACTAGTGGCTCAGTGCACAAAATTCGTGCATGGGGGGAGGTGTATCCCTCAGCCCGGTCTACACCCTCTCCAATCTGGGACCCCTTGGGATGTCCATTTGCCAGTTTAGGCCTGATCCCTGCCATCTTCCCCCCTGTGGGATCGGGCCTATACTGGTAGTTGCACATCCCTCTCACAACCTGGGACCGCTGGCTCCTGCCTGCTTGATCACCCCTAACCACTCTGCCTGCTGGCCTGATCACCTCCCACTGCCCCCCCGCTTGCTGGCCTGATTTCGCCCCCAACTGCCCCCGCCCCCCCCCCCCCCCCCGCCGGCCTGCTCACCCCCAACTGCCCTCTCCTGCCGGCCTGGTCGCCCCTAACTGCCTCTGCCTCAGCCCCGCCACCATGGCTTTGTCCAGGTCTCCCGCTCTAATTAGCATATTACTCTTTTATTTGTCCAGATTTTAAAGGGTTACTGGATGTGGGGTTGGGGCCAGGAACAGGATGCTACCATGTCTGGATCCCTATAAACACACAGCACAGCTATGGCTGGGACTAGCTCTGCACTGTTTTTGACCTCACAGGTCAACTGGGAAGCCAGCATGGGACAGAGAACCCATGGGACAGGGCTGACTCCAAGGGGAAGGGGATGCAGAGGCCACTAGCACATACAGCATGGGGGGAGGAGGTAATGCTACCCCCCGCCCCCCGTCTGGAGCCAGGGTCAGCAGTGGGGCGCTGAGCTGGGCTCTGAGCTTGGAAACTGCCCCAGTGGAAGGGGGTATTGCTGCAAGAGGCCAAGGAGAGGCGGTCCCCCTTAGACCCAAGGCCGGAGTCGTCTGGACCGCTGACCGCCTGGGGAGGGAGGGCTCTCTTTACTGCTGGCACAGCCCCTGGGCCAGATAGAGAAGGGAAGAGGGAGGCTGTGGCTGGTCTGCAAGTGGGTCTGAGTTTTGTACAGAGAAGGGGTTCCAGGCAGAAAACCGAGTCAGCCTCTGCCTGGGGCAACCCTCTGGGGGCCTGGGGTGCACATACCGCCCCAGGGGAGTGAGCGCCGGAAGCCACAGAGAACACAGCCAGGGGGGAGCATTATCCCAACACGTTGAGATTCTGCTTCCTGGCAATTGTAGACAAGTGCAAATAAAGTCACAAAAATTCTTTGGGGGGGGGGGGGCGGGGAGAGAGAGAGAGAGAGAGAGAGAGAGAGAGAGAGAGAGAGAGAGAGAGAGCGCGCGCGCAAGAGAGAAACGGGGCTGGGTGCGCCCCCTCGTGTCTAATCTGAGGACAGCGCCCTGCATGACCAGGCCAGCTGGGGCTTGGAAGTGGGCAGGGCAGGAGAAAGAGTTGGCACCAAGCTTTCTGTTTTAAACTTTTTAAAAAATACACTCTTTGGCTTTCTTTTATTTCTGGAGGATTACATGAAATGTGAACCACACAGGCAAGTGTCCCAGCCAGGTCCCCTGTCTGGAGGGCTGGCTGCCGCTCCCGGCCCGGCACTGGGGGTCTCTCCACTCGCCCTGCCGCCTGGCCTCCTTTCTGGCCGTCGGTCCATACACCACGTGAGCTGGCAGAAGCCCTACTTGGAGGAGGTCATGAAGCTGTTCTCAATGCAGAGGACGATGAAGGCGTTGTGGCAGCTCACGGCTTTCTGTCCCAACAGCCTGCCCGTCAGCATGGAGGAGGCCTGGCCCGTGGCTGTTGTGGCCTCAGTCCGCCACGTCTCACAGTAGCTCTCGGTCAGCCGGCGCCCGCTGGGGTCTGAGCCGTGCCACACACTCTTCTGTGGCCTGCAGGACACAGGGGCTGTCAGTCTCCCCTGGGCCCTGCTCCTCCTGGGACAGAGGCCACCCTCAGGCAGAAAAGGGCGGAGGCTGCAGGTGGAGGTGGTAGCAGGGACTGGGGCCACCGCTAGCCACCGGGGACGGTGCACCCCGTGCTGCCACTGCTTTTGGGGGCACAGCACGGGGAACAGGCTCTGTGACCCTGATGACTGGTCCCTTGGGGCTGGGTGCTCCTCCGTGAGTGTGGGGACATACTTGTCTGACACACGAGCCACCTGGGAAGAGCATGCCCAGGGGGAACAGGCGCCCTCACGTCATGAGGGACGAGGGGTGTCAGGGCAATCTGACAGCTTCCACCAGTGTTTGAAGTACACACATCCTCCAACTGGGAAACTCCATTTGGGGGAGTTTACAGGAGCAATCACTCTCTGTGATGCCTGCGTGGCAGACCGTGAGAGCTGGGTGATCCTGGCAGGCCCCTGGGGCACCCACCATTGGCGAGTCTTCCGACAGCAATGGGGATGGGGGAGGCCTGCCCAGGGAGCAGGCTGGTGAGGGTGTTCGTACAACACACGAAGATGCTTTGTGTCATTCATGCTCTTCTGGATCGTGTGAGTTTTAAACAGTGAGCATGTATTAGGTAGAGGGTCAGGTGAGAC